GTCAAATGTCCTCAGAGAAAACAACCAAGGTAAAGAGATAGATTTCAGGGTGGCCAAATCTTGATCTCCCACATCACCAAACTTCCTAGGTTGGCATGGGAAAAATAAAGGCAAGAGGTGTGTAATTATTTGATGACATAGGGCTGTGTGTATCAACAATAAGGATCATTCAGGCCCAGCACTGTTTTCTCCTTCATAGAAAGATCATTAATAAAATTTCTTGAGAAGTTTATTCCATATTATACTTACCTTTGCCTGCTCCCTGGAAGAAAAGTTGATGGCTACTCAGTATGATTGCCAAAGATGACTCTTTGTTGCCATTTTCTCCACTACCAACCTGTCTTGCTTTCCCTCTTCCTGACAAACTGAAAATATTAGGGTCGGGGCCAGCCCCGTGGCTTAGCGGTTAATTGTGTGCACTCCGCTACTGGTGGCCCGGGTTTGGATCCCGGGCGCGCACCAACGCACCACTTCTCTGGCCATGCTGAGGCCACATCCCACATATAGCAACTAGAAGGATGTGCAACTATGACATACAACTATCTACTGGGGCTTTGGGGGAAAAAAGGAGGAGGATTGGCAATAGATGTTAGCTCAGAGCCGGTCTTCCTCAGCAAAAAGAGGAGGATTAGCATAGATGTTAGCTCCGGGCTGATCTTCCTCACAAAAAAAAAAAAGAAAAAGAAAATATTAGGGTCAAAGTCACTATTTGGAATGAATTACAATGTCCACAGTCATTGTTAAAATGTGTGTAGTACTAACAGAGAGTGGGAGGAAGAATCATGGTCTTGGAAAATTGGTGCTGGCAGGGGTGATCAGTTGTGCTGCAGGGAGAGTTGCCAGGTCAAACAAACAAGAAATGGCATCAGAGAGATGGGGCATGCTTTACTGTAGCACGAGCAGGATATGTTGGAGGGTAGAAAGTGAATGATCTGAACACAAATCGTCATGTTTAGAGCTTCACAGCTTTTCCTCAGGCTAGTCTTAAGATAGGTTTAATTGTTAACTTACAATTTAATTTTTCCATGGTGGTTTGCAGGTTGGATTTATTTCAAAGTTCAAAGTTTGTCCTGTCTCTCCTGCTGCCAGCTCAACCTGCAAACCGAAAACTCAAGCTGTGTCCCTTCTGCCTCTCATAATTTGTAAAGCAAAATTTGTTATCTGTACACAAAATGCTGCATTGGACATGAACTTATGACATAAGGAGAAGGGAATTCATCATTTCTTTTTAAGTATTTGTTTTGGGAGTTAATAAAGCAATGCTTGTACATTAGGTAAAAACAAGGAGAAGGCTGAAGCTGAGTCTGTTGGGTAAGGAAAGATGTGAGATTATATTCAGTGTTTATCAATGAAGATAACATAATCTGTATCATTGATCCACTTCCCAGTCCCTCCCCATGTTCATTCCCAACTATTACTTTTTCTAATGGCATATTTTTTCCCAACTAATTTTGTCATATGGCCTCTGGGCATTAAAATATAGGAATATTGTAGATGAGTCTATTGACACTTATGACTTAAGTAATATTTATTAGGCAGTTTGAGAAAAATACAAGTAAAATATTTTTTGAATATTTCAAGGGTCACCATATGTGTCCTTTTAAAGCACAAAAATAGTGATGTAACACTTTCAGAATGAATCTAAAATCTTAATGAAGCTTAGTTATAGTAGCGTTAGCATAAAATGATGCTTGTCCGAGATTCAAAAACCTTTCCAAAGCTTCCATCCACTAGCGCCATGCTTAGACTTCAGCATTGGTGTATTGTTTAGGTCAGTTCTTGGGACAATGGCAAAATTAGATCTGAGTTCCACTTCCTTTAAACGCTTCCTCTTTGGGCCCTTAAATAAACAAATATCTTAAATACTACACAGTAGCAGTATATAATGATCAATTGTGTCCTTATGCCATAACACCCCTATCTTGACTATTAGCTCCTGAGAATTAATTTTTAAAAAACAAACCAAACCATCCAACCATCCTGAATAACTCTAGTGAAACCAATTTAAAGACAATTGTTTGGGAACCTCTTGAGCAGATGATATACAACTTATGACCTAATTGATTCCTAGATAGTTAAAAATCAAGCTCATATATTGGGGCTGGCCCCATGGCGTAGCAGTTAAGTGCCCATGCTCTGCTGCTGGCGGCCTGGGTTCGGATCCTGGGTGCATACCTATGCACTGCTTGTCAGGCCATGCTGTGGCGGCGTCCCACATGTTAGCTCAGGGCCAGTCTTCCTCAGCAAAAAGAGGAGGATTGGCATGGATGTTAGCTCAGGGCTGATCTTCATCACACACACACACAAAAATCAAGCTCATATAAATCAAACCTGTATTTCCTATAGCCACAATGTTATTAACTGGGGCTCCAATCCTGGAAACCCATTTCATACCTTAAAAATACTAAAATTACCTTCACAAAAATTAACTCAAAATGGATTACAGACCTAAATGTAAAATGTAAAACTATAAAACTTCTAGAAGATAACATAGGACAAAACTTAGATGACTTTGGGTATGGTGATGACTTTTTGACACCAAAGGCATGATCCATGAAAGAAATGACCGATAAGTTAGACTTCATTAAAATTGAAATGTTATGCTTTACAAAAGACAACACCAAGAGAATTAGAAGACAAGCCACAGACTGGAAGAAAATATTTACAAAAACTCACGTGGTAAAGAATTCTACAATGATCAGTCAAGGGATACACAAGATAAAAAGATGTAGGATGTCACATCGACAACATAAAAAGTGGGGAGGGGAGAGTCAAAATGTAGAGCTTTAGAGTGTGATCAAACTTAGATCTTATCAACTTAAAATATACTGTTATAGATATAAGGTGTTATATGTAAGCCTCATGGTAGCCACAAAGCAAAAACTTATAGTAGATACACAAAAGATATAGAGAAAGGAATCTGAGCATACCACTAAAGAAAGTCATCAAACCACAAAGGAAGAGTGCAAGAGAAGAAGAAAGAGAGGAACTACAAAACAACTAGAAAACAATTAACAAAATGACAATAAGTAAATACCTATCAATAATTTCTTTAAACATAAATGGACTAAATTCTCCAATTAAAAGACATAGAGTGGCTGAATGGATAAAAAAACAACACCCATCTATATGCTGCCTACCAGAGACTCACTTCGGATGTACGGAAACACACAAAGTGAAGGAGTGGAAAAAGATATTCTATGCAAATGGGAACCAGCAGAAAGTTGGGGTAGCTATATTTATATCAGACAAAATAGACTTTAAAACAGAGACTGTAATAAGAGACAAAGAATGACATTGCATAATGATAAAGGGTCATTCTAACAAGAGTATATAGCATTTGTAAATATTTATGCACCCAACATAGGAGCCCCTAAACATATAAAGCAGATATTAACAGACCTAAAGGGAGAATTAGACAGCAATATGATAATAGCAGGGGATTTCAGTATCCTATTTACATCAATGGATAGATCATCCAGACAAAATCAATAATGAAACATTGGCCTTAAATGACCCATTACACCAGATGGACTTAACAGATATACACAGAATACTCCATCCAAAAGCAACACAATACATATTTTTCTCGAGTGCACATAGAACATTCTCCAGGATAGAACATATATTA